ATAGCAAATAAGTTTCCCTGTAGTTAAACCATTTGGACGCAACAGAGATGTGGTTTCTGAGACGAATGTTACCAATACCTTGAACGGCCAGAGTAACTAATAACGACTGTTTGATAGAAGCTAATGAAAGTAGATCTCTATATACAAGACTAAGAAAGAGACAAACACTATTCTTTAACCACATAATGAGAAGACAGGCATTAGAAAACATCATGACAACTGGAAAGATCAGTAGAAAAAGGGATAGAAGCAGACCAAGAGAGATGATGCTGAATGAGCTGAAATGATGGCATGGAGGGATATCATCAAGAGAGCTGTTCCAGGCAATCATGGATCGTTATCTGTGGAGACGCAAGAGATCCTAAGCTAGTTGGCAGGGCACATGATGATGATGAGGAGGATGATGATAGTTAATCCGTTCATGTGCCAACGAAAATTACACAAATCACTTTCATTTAGGGGGTTGGGGTGGGGGGGGAGGGGGTCCACACAATCTACACAGACTGCAGTCTCAGCAAAGCGAGTGGAATGGGCACACAATAAATGCCACTAAAAATACTAATACAAACAGTCCGACGCTAGAAATTCAGCTCATCGTCGCTGGAAGCAGCAATTACAACAGAGAAATGTTTGCACACGTAGTTATTAGTAAAAACAGCATCAGTTCTCTTACCACTCACCATTTTCTCGATCTACAGTTCACAAGACGTCCGTGGCTAAGGCGTTGCGAGTCCGTCTCGTAATCCAACGTACCGCGATCAAAACCCACTGCCGGCTGCGTGGATTTTTATCGTTGTATGGGACGTCGAATGCATACAAACAAAACTGCCATGGAGAAGGAAATATATGTTAATGAGGAAAGATTGGAAGTGGTGGAAAATTTCGAATATCTTGGGTCACTGGTTACCAACAATGGTGACACAATGAAAGAAATTAAACGGCGACTATCAATTGCTCTTCAAAGACTAAAACAACTGAATAAATTATGGAATTGTACAGATAGAACTACAAAGGTCAGAATTTTAAGAGCATGCATCTTTCCCATTTCAACATACGTCTGTGAGACCTGGACACTTACTAAACAAGCGGAACAGCGCATAAATGCATTTGAATATAAATGTTACAGACAGGTTCTAAGAATATTTGGGTTATAAGAAAAGAACAAATGCATCCATTACTTCAAGAGCTGAATATTGAAGAGGGTTTGGCTAGTAAAGACAATAAAACAAAGAAAATTGAAATATTTTGGTCACTTGAAACGTCATGGAAGTCTAGAGAGAAACAATAATGGAGGGGTATATGCCTGGAAGAGAGAGAAGAGGAAGGCCAAGGAGAAGATGGGATGGGTGCAGGATGTGGCAGATGATCTCCAGATGGGTGTATCAGACGCAGGACATCTTGCTCAGGATAGGAAGGTTTTCCGGAGGGTTGTTATGGCAGCGAGGTTCCGCGAGGGACATGCTACTGAATGAATGAATGGGACGTCGCAGGTCGACCCAGCCTCAAATGGGTACCAGGATGGGCTGTCCTGGGAAAGTAAAGACAGCCGGCGTAATGCTGACCACTACCCACCGAGTGCTGATGGTCTGTAAAATATGGGCGCTCTTCTCATATGCCCGATACACCTAAAGGCGTGAAAGGGATCTTTACTTTTTTTTTTTATTTTACTACAGTTCACAACACACACACAAAGCACAGTAAAAAAAGTATTCCAAATGAATTCCACAGTTCACAGTGCCACGCCATGCACTCAGCTCTAAATGTGAAGAAAAATTATAACTTTGTCAGAAGCAAAACAAGTAAAACCTGTCTATCCGCCGTATTTACTGGAAGTCAGAAATGAAATGACAATTGTTAGTGTGGTCCACCGAAAGCCGCACTATATGCTAATCCTACCCAGGGTGCTTGGCGCTAAAAATTGAATAGAGTTTCCTTGCAATTCGTGAAAACAGAAACATTAGTATCAAAGCAAAAGGGAACAGCAAAATTATATATTGGAAAAACAGAAACATTCGTTACCCTGTCAGTAATATAAATATATATATATAATATATATATATATATATATATATAATATATATATATATATATATATATATATATGTGTGTGTGTGTGTGTGTGTGTGTGTGTGAGAGAGAGAGAGAGAGGGTTGGTTATAGACTCATTTGAAAAATACATGACACATATATAGATGAGGATAAGCCAAGCAAAAGATGCATTTTTAAAGAAAAAAAATCGCCGTGTGGGTTTCTTATTCTTGGAGGAGGGCGGGGCGTTGGCATAACAATTTTGGAATTTTCTGAAATCGTAATCGTTGAGCCAAAAAGAGCAAATATCGCAGTTTGGCTCTAAACAATACTATAAGGTGCAAAGTTGAGAAGAAGAAGAAGAAGAAGAAGAAGAAGAAGAAGAAGAAGAAGAAGAAGAAGAAGAAGAAGAAGAAGAACAACAACAACAACAACAACAACAACAACAACAAGAAAAAGAATAACAAGAAGAAGAAGAAGGATGAGCAGGAGGAGGATTAGGAGAAGACGAAGAAGAAGAAGAAGAAGAAGAAGAAGAAGAAGAAGAAGAAGAAGAAGAAGAAGAAGAAGAAGAAGAAGAAGAAGAAGAAGAAGAAGAAGAAGAAGAAGAAGAAGAAGAAGAAGAAGAAGAAAAAAAGAAGAAAAAGAAGAAGAAGGAAAAAGAAGAAGAAGAGGAAGAAGAAGAAGAAGAAGAAGAAGAAGAAGAAGAGAAGAAGAAGAAGAAGAAGAAGAAGAAGAAGAAGAAGAAGAAGAAGAAGAAGAAGAAGAAGAAGAAGAAGAAGAAGAAGAAGAAAATGGTGACGACAAAGAAGAAGAAGGAGACAACGACGAAGTAGGAAACATGAGTGATTGAAAAACAAAACAACATACACCTAAAAGAGTCATCATTGTTGTGTTATATTATGAGAAGAATGAAACTGGAAAATGCTGTGACAACTGAAAAGATCTGTGGAAAAAAAGGCAGATGAGACAATTCTTGACAGCCTTTTGTCATGACATGGAAGGCTATCAACATACAAACTGAAACAAGCAGTTAAAGATCGCAAACTGCGGAGAGACATCATCACCCACGCTGTTTGGCAAGGCACCTGATGATGATGTTGATGACGATGATACATCACTGTAGGTAGGATCAGACAGAGAGTATGAAATGCTGCATTGAAATTATTTGTTGTGTGGCAATAAATCTTGAAATGTGAAGGGATAAATTAAGAAGAGTCAATTTTTGTTGTTGTTGAGGTCAATGTTTAAAAGACCTTCATCAGACATTTTGACTAAAAACGATCGCCTGCAAACTGCTAACGAAATTCGAAAATTATATTCCTTATGACAGTTACGACCGTTTCCAGCTAACAGGCCGTACTGCTGACGTCACCAGGTCGGGCTAACGATGCATTAACGCAGCGGTTCTCAAACAAGAAATAAACTATTTTCGACAGTGACGAGGAAAGACAACTTAAATTTTAACTTTTAATTATCTACGTGCCTTTTGTAATAATTTCACAGTTTTTAGCCTACTTTTTTTTATTGTTGCCGCGGCACACCTGGCATACGCTCATGGCACCCAGTTTGAGAACCGCTGCGTTAACGCATCGTTAGCAGCACGGCCCGTCAGCTGGAGCCGGTCAGGTTATAGTCATGTCTTCCCTAATCAAGTGACGAAAAGAAGGGCATCTTTAAATCGGGGATGATCACATTAAAAAAAAAAAAAAAAATGGTGTCAATCTATAGAAAGAAACAAGTAACTCAATCGGCTGCCCTCTTCAGACAAACATTTTTGTTGATCTCCAACAAATTGTCTTTCGTGCCTGCCATTTGTTGTCAATAACAATATAAATACACAACACAATGCCTTTGCTACATAAATTTAAACTCATTGGCTCTGCTCTAATAGACTTGTGAGAACATGGTGCACGCCTCTCACTGAATCAACGCACCCAGGAATGGCGGAGTCAACTGCAGTAAACGCATCGATCAGCTGACAAATAAAGCACTAATTTTTAGGGAGAGAAATTTTCTCTTCTCATACCGATACTCTTTTAATTGGCGGTGTTGAGATGATGTATACACTACCATTGTACTTTGTATATAATGATTCCCAGAGATCTGCAGTGTTTCTATTTTTTAAATTTTTTATTGCATGTGTGTGTTTGCCAGGTTCGTTTCCATATTTCTTCAAACATTAAAATAATCAACTGCTGCCTGATAGGCCAAACTATGTTAATATATCTCAGTCATCCTCATGTGAGATGCAATTTTTCGTTATTTGAAACACCACCCTGGCTTTTGCAGGGGTCCCTGAATATAGCCAGGCCATAAATATGGCCAACCGACTGTAAGGGGTTTCTGTGACCTTTCCACGTGTAATCCTAATCCATATGATGGCACTTTGCGTCACCGGGTGTTTATCGCTTGTGTGATGTCCTGGTGGAGTACAACGAGAGAGAGAGAGAGAGAGAGAGGGAGAGAGAGAGAGAGAGAGAGAGAGAGAGAGAGAGAGAGAGAGAGAGAGAGAGAGAGAGAGAGAGAGAAAACTACGTTAATAGTAAAGGACCATTTTCCACGCATTCAGGCATATTGGAAATATAGGGCTAGACCTATATTTGTATAGACTAATCGGCACTTTGTGGGTGAGATGGCCAGCATCACGCCGGCAGTCTTGAATTCCGCACCTGGTACCCACTCAAGGCTGGGTCGACTTGGGAGCCAATACTAGGTTAATAGGTAACATAAACTGATCTGCGTGAGATCATCCACTACTTGTCCATACCATTCTGAGGTCAGTTTCATTTATGTGTTCTGGAGATCAAAGACAGACTAGTGATTTTCCTTTTTACCCCTAAAAAAGAAAACTTTGAATAAGGTTTTTTATGCAATTTCAGCGTTCATCATTCTCTCCTCTCCCCCCCCCCCCCCCCCCGCAACCCCATTCATTTTTTCGACGACCCCGTTTTCTATGTATTTGCTTGCAGCTGGCAGTAGGTTATTTGATTGAAGCAGTGGGATTCTTCATTCCTGTAGTAATATTCAATTGCCTCTTGCTGATTCCACTGCTGGTGACAATATTTCTGCTACCAGAGACGCTGCCACGCAAGCAGAAAATTTCATGGGATGTAAGGATGCATCTTAAAAAGGTTGGTATTTATGGAATACTTTCGTTACTGTTTTAACTGTGTCTTCGTTTACCAAAAGGTGACTTGTCAAATCCTTTTTATGTGGTCTATTGGAAATAACCCGCGAGATAGAAGGCGGTGGACAATCATCATTACCCATGCTATATGTCTAAACAGACTGGACGAAGAATTAGTTTATGTTAGAAACTATAAATGTAAGGATGGGGGAACTCATAGACATTACAATCGAATACAAAAAGCAAGAAGATTTTTTTTTAGCACTTGGAAATTTGTGGAAGTCTAAACAAATGGAAACGAATACTCTACTAAATATTTTAAACTGTAAAGTTAAATCAGTACTGCTATAAGGTGCAGAAATGATGAGAACTACTAAAACAATTATTAATATACTACAAACATTCATTGCCTGGTACCTGCGCAGAATATAGGGAATTAAATGAAATGATGGAATCATTAGTGTCGAGATACGGGAGAGAGATAAAGAACTTCCGTTGAATCAAGAGGTGAAGTAAAGACTCTGGAGTCGAATCATTAATGTCGAGATACGGGAGAGAGATAAAGAACTTCCGTTGAATCAAGAGGTGAAGTAAAGACTCTGGAGTCGAATCATTAATGTCGAGATATGGGAGAGAGATAAAGAACTTCCGTTGAATCCAGAGGTGAAGTAAAGACGATCCTGCACCGAATCATTGAACTCCTGTCGAGATATGGGAGTGAGATAAAGAACTTCCATTATTGTTCTATCAAGAGGTGAAGTAAAGACTCTGGAGAGTCGATTTCATTAATGTAGAGATATGGGAGTGAGATAAAGAACTTCCGTTCAATCAAGAGGTGAAGTACTGAAGATGCAGACTCTGGAGTCGATAATCATTAATTGTCGAGAATACGGGAGAGAGATCAAAGAACTTCCGTTGAATCAGAGATGAAAGTAAAGACGCCTGGAGTGTCCAGTCTCAATCATTGCAATGGTCGAGATGCATGGGTAGTGGAGATAAAGAACTTTGTTGAATCAAGAGTTAACAAGTACAAAGATTCTGGAGTCGAATCATTGTGTGCCGAGATATCGGGAGTGAGATAAAGAACTTCCGTTGAATCAAGAGGTGAAGTAAAGGACGCTGGATATTCGGAAATCTTGAATCAATTTCCCTCATGAAGTAAAAGACTCTGGCTGGAGTCGAATCTTTAGTGTCGAGATATGGAGTGAGATAAAGAACTTTCCGTTGAATCAAGAGGTGAAGGTAAAAGACTTTGTGTGAGTCGAATCATTTATTGTAGAGATATGGGAGTGAGATAAAGAAATTCCGTTGATCAAGAGGTTTAAGTAAAGACTCTGGAGTCCGAATCAATTCTTAATGAGTCGAGATATACAGGTGAGTGGAAATAAAGACACACTTCCCGTTGAATCAAGAGGTGAAGTAAAGACTCTGGAGTCGAATCATTAATGTCGAGATATGGGAGTGAGATAAAGAACTTCCGTTGAATCAAGAGGTGAAGTAAAGACTCTGGAGTCGAATCATTAATGTGGAGATATGGGAGTGAGATAAAGAACTTCCGTTGAATCAAGAGGTGAAGTAAAGACTCTGGAGTCAAATAGGACACACCTCGGGAAAACATTAGAGTAATATAATTGGAAGGGCTCTACAGTGGAACTAGCAGGGGCATAACATTAAAAGCAAATTTAAAACATACAGAAACACACACACACACACACACACACATACAGAGAGAGAGAGAGAGAGAGAGAGAGAGAGAGAGAGAGAGAGAGAGAGAGAGAGAGAGAGAAGGCGGGTGAGATAAAAAGCGAAGTTTTAAAAGATGGAGAGGACATGGGCTGAGATGCATGCGATAGCAAATGATATTAATAAAGTAAACAAAAATGTATTGATCGGCACTCATAGAAAGAAGTAGAAAGATAGAAGAAAAAAGCAAAGGATAGGGCGACTTGACTGGAGTGATTGAGGGTCTTTTGTTCCTTCCACTGGCAGATCATGTGCAGAAGAGAAAAGTTTGAATTTTAACCAAAGGGAAAAAAAATACCTTGTCCAAGCTGTGAGACGTGACAGCTCGAATTTGTAAAGACCAGTCAGTATTCATTGAATTATGTGACATGTATCACACCAGTCACCTCTACTTCCAGTATCATGTTTTGGCACCTACTGCAGCTGCTTTGACCTAAAGAAAATAAACTGACGAAAAAAAATCCAAAACTAAGGGGATTTGAACACCCGGACAACAACAAGTGTACTAGCCAATGCGCAGTAATTGTTTTGATGACTAGATGTAGTGAACATCATAATGATGATGACGATGATGATGATTATCATCATGTAGCAGGTTATCTGCATAACGTTGCACTCATCACGGTCTGCCTATGAAAAAGAAATCTTGGTCTCGCGCCAGCTATCCCACCACCTGTACTTTAATATCCAAGGAGTCACTGATTTCCTGTGCCCATCTTCGTGTGGTTGGCCCCTGCCACTCCTTACAAGTCAGTAAAATTTACATTTACCCCGGTTTCCACGAGAAATGGCAATGGCAAACCACTGAACGTACATTTACCTAGAGAAACCACAACAGCCAAAAAAAAAAAAAAAAAAACCGGAGTTGGTTCTGCAACGTCCTCTAAAGGATATGCACCTAAATAACTAACTTCACTTAAGTCTTGTCCTCAGACTGGCATCAGTGACTCCTACGTATCCATCACTCTTTTTCTTCACATCTTTAGGTTGTTAACCCTACGGGCAACAATCCTAGAGCGTAACTTGCGTATGTATGTATGTGAGCTGTACCCCACCAGAACATCACACAAGCTTTAAACACCCGGTGACACAAAGTGCCACCATGCAGATGAGGATCACCCGTAGAGAGGCCACATTCAGGCCCGGCTACATTTACTACCCCCGCCAAAAGCCAGGGTGGGGTTTCAAAATAACTAAAAATTGCATCCCAAAAGGGAAGGACGAGATAAGAGCATAACAGTGGCCACCACTGTCTATACTTATTCCTATTTGAATTAATGCTTTTATTGATTATTATGTTATGGTACATAGTCGACGTCTTTGCACATTGGACATTCCCATACGTACCCAGTCTTTCGATGCAGTAGCTACTCCAAGCTATTCCCATGAACAATTCGTTGTAGTATCCCATGTCTAGACAAGGCAGCCGGCAGAGACGTGCTTCTTAACTTCCAGGTCCCGTAATCGTAAAGTAATAGTGTCAGAGATGCAACAGTATTCCCCCAACATAGTCCGTACAGCGTTGATGATATCATCTTTGTCCAAGCTTCTTCACATTTCATTGGTGCATTACTTGTCAGCAGGTCAGCCCTTTCATTGCCTTTTACTGCGACTTCTGAATGCTTTCTACCCATTCAGAGCTTAAAAGTGCTTTACTGCTTGCCATTTCGGGCGTCGAAAGACTTTTCCCAGCATACCAGAGTGTGTAGATCTAGTTCTTTTATTTCTATGAAATATTACCTGCTTTTCTCCACAAATAGAATAACTCATGTTCAATTGTTTCAGACATTTGGATTCTACTTTTCGAGCACTAAAGGTAATTACCAGAGACTTCAGTTCATCATGGGTCTGACTGCACACTTCACATTAGTGTTCGCAAATATTGGCAGGGCGCCTATAGAGACCTTATTTGTACTCAATAAACCCATATGCTGGAGCGCTGCGGCTATCGGCGTGTTTGGTGCAGTCAGGATGGTAAGTTGTTATCTTAGATAAAATATAAGTGCTACGTCAAACACACTTCGTAGACGAAGTTGACAAAAATTGCTAAATAGGCACTGAAATTAGAGAAATATAGGTTGAGCAAGCGAACTTGACCAAGGGGAAATTCAATAACGAAAGTTCACAGGAGAGAGTGAGCAAAGGACGAACATATCAATTTGATTTTCAAAAGCGTCATAAATTTAGCAAGCTTTTATTCTGTCATGCTTTCTGTCTGTCCTGTCATTCATCTTGAATTCTTTTGGCTATATTTGCCAGACTAGACTGCAGACATGAATAGATATGGCTGTAGTTGAGCTGATATCTTCTTCTTCTTTCTCTCTTATTTTGTCCTACTGCTTGTGCAGTAAAGCGTGGCAGAGAGGCGTTAGATGTAGTTTCCTGTCTTCTGCTTTTTGCAAATATCAAAGCTGATGTCAGGAAGTGCTAAATAAAACATAAACCGTAGCCAACAAATTTACAATCGGAAAACTAAATACATCACAAACTGCGACTAGAAGTCTCAGTGGAGAAGACAAAGGAGCTTATAAACAACCAAGATCAAAATTGAATCAAAAATACGCAGCAGGGAACAAATAAGCAGTGGACAGGTATGCTATGAATCGAAACAAATAAGAACTTTTAAAACACTGAGAGAAATATAAATCAGTTAAATAAAATAAAATAAAATACAAAAGTAAATATAGCTGTGCCGAAAATTTATCTCTGGAGGACTGAAAACGCTAACGCAGAAGGAAACGATTTTCAAGATAATAGCGGCTGCTTTGATCACCGGGGCATGAGTTTATAATGGTGACTGATGCATAACTTTCACATTGGTGGTTAGAAATATTGAAATGGAGGGAGACTAGTTTGAAAGGCTCAGAACGGGAGAAGGGACATGATCTGCTTACTGAAAAGACAGTTTAACTTCGTATCGGTTACCCCAGTTGTCATAATTTAAGAAAGTGACAGACTTTACAAGGAAGATACCAATCAGGAACGCTAGCAAACTGTGCAAACTCATATAATAGACTGATATATATATAAACATGGATCTCAAGCATAAGAATAGTAAGATACATCTCAAGAATACACACAACGTTTATCAAAAGGCATCATGTCTATTGCGCAATGGGAACAGTTAGTATCTACACATTAAGACATTTGATGCAGGAGACGGAGCACCTATAGGTATGCCCGGTATACTATGACATCGATTCTTACATCAGTGAATCATGAATGGATTCCATAAAAACATGACACATATCTAATATACAT